CTCTCTCTCTCTCTCTCTCTCTCTCTCTCTCTCTCTCTTCCTCTCTACTCTAGTCTCTTTTTAGATCATTCTAGGTGTGTAACCTGTTCACTTCTTGGATGACTGCCTGTTTACGAGCTGAATGCATCTTCTTAAGAGTCGACTTCCTTCTATTGTCTGTGTTTCCTGCGTCCGTGTCTCTATCTACCAAGTGCATGCGTATAAGGTGTACGCTGAAAAGTCGCATTGTTTCGGAACGAGGTGTTACATGGAATGCTTAAGCATCGCTAACGTTACGATTCTGTCCCGACGAGTGATATCGCAAAACCGTGAGAGACCGCTAACGCGCGATACGGTGACTCGAACCAAAACCGAATCCGCAAAACCGGAACAGAACGAAACATAACGGGTTTCTTGTATATTTTTGTGTTGTACGATACATAGAGAAGAACATTTACAACTTCGAGTAGCCCGAGAACATTTGACACGCGGGCAGACCTTTCTTGCTTTAGATACAGCACCGTCCTCGATGTGTTCTATCGTTAATGTGACACACCTTTTTCTTGATGTTTGAAATTATAGAGACACCGAGCGTGCGGAGTCAGCTGCTACTTGCCGACAGGGTGTACGCCGTAGGTTCGTTCCAATGTTTGAATAACTACATTGCAAATATCATTCACGTTCAACGTCCATCGTTCTGGCACTATTTCACCGTTTCCTATTTTCCCATTTTCTTTTTTTTTCTTTTGGTTTCTTTTTGGTTTCCCGTTTGTGGCTCGAGCTGCGCCGCCACGAAACGATCGCGTTTTAAATTCACGGCTCGGATGACAAATCACAGCCGCAACGCAACGCGAGACTGTTTTTCTAAACGATAGGAGACAGGAGGACTGGATTTTTCGACGGTTTTCCGGCAGCTCGACCGATTTATTCGATAAAAGATACAATCTAGTCGTTGAAATGCTTACAGCAAATCAACGGGAAAACAGAACGTTATAGGAATGCTTTCTTGTTCGGGAAACGAACGATTAGCGAAAATAATCGTGACCACGTTTTAAATGATAATTCCTTTTAAAACGATCGTTTCAACTTTAACGAAACAAACGTAAGATCTGTTTTTCTGTTTACCTGTTTTCCTCATATTCACGAAAACGATGTACACGTTGATTTTTAATTGGAAATTACCGTACCGCACTGCACGAACCCCGATAGAACCGTATAAAGTATATTTTTCCCATGATCGTATCGTTTCGAAAGTTTTCAAAATCACCATTCGTTTCTGCCTACAAGCGTATACCGTGTATATTAATATATCCTTGTATGCTATAATCGACATTGAAACGTGTTCCGATACGACGATCACGACGACGCGATCTCGATGCGATCTTTAACTCGAAAAAATTGGAAGCACTCGATGTATGCGGTAGCGTTCGAACAAAGTCAATAAATTCAATGAAATTTCTAGAGCTCGAGTGTTTACAGTCTCGCGTTGCTTACCGAAACAAATTTACGCATCGTAATTATATTCGCGTATAAAACATTAATCACCGCTGAACAAACATCATCCGTATTTATATATTTTAAACTTTCCATAAAGATACATACGAAAACCATACGACAACGCATGTAAGTACACAGAGAGACGTCGTATCGATGTTGCTAACCATGTTTCGGATTTTTTTGTTACACTCTTTAATCGATCACGCATGTACGTTTCACTCGATTGTAACGATATCACAAGGTGTGCAAAATTCTATCGAATAACATAGATTTCGATCGTATCGCCCAATCGTGTATATTCATTTGATAACCAAAGCGTTGCAAGTGTGTATCAATAATGTAAAGTGTGTACTCGAGGTAATTAGGATATATCCTTTGTTATTTGTGTATATATGTCACGATATATGTATACATCCGTATAGACCAGTTCACGCTACCTGAACTTTCACAATGCCCGTAGCAACAAGAAAAATGATTCATTGCCATCCGTATCGTCTCCGACTTTGAAATTTTCTACCAATTGGATTCACGAGCAATAGCAATCAGCACTCCACAAAATGAAACGCTGAATTCAAAGGCACTCGCTTGCTAGGTCGACAGCGTGTAATATCTATTGTACGGCGCGGTAGAATTCACACACACACACACGCGCGCGCGTACATCTGCAATCGTAGATTTCTTTCGTAGCACTCTGGCTCAACCCCGGAGGTACCTCGCGAGGACCTAGCCAATATCTTGTATCGATTTACCAACGTAACGTCAACAACGTACAGAAATATTTGTAACACTACTATTATAGTATGCAAAGTTGGTAGTACACGTTAAGATCAAACTAATTTTCTCTGTAGTCAGCGTTCCATTTGTGTAAAATTTCAGCACTCATCCTGTGAACTCCACGTTAATTGCACTTTGAAATTTGGATACATTAAACTTCCACAAATATAAATGCAATAATATATATAATGTGTGTGTGTGTTGAAACCCCTTATGCCCGTTGCTACGTCTATCAGTTTTGACATTGAAGAAAACTTGCCGATTATTGGAAGAAAAATTGATATTGACACACTATTTGCGGGTCACAGATCGATCGTCAACAACTATAAATAAACGAGCCACGAGGCTCGAATAATCGTGTCTCCTCTTCCCAAATTCTTCATTTTTGTTTACAAGCTGAGGAACAATTGGTGAGAATTTACTGTACATCGCTTCGGCACCAATCTCTTTTCTTTACCGCATCATTAAAACACGTTCGCACTCGAGGCATCTATACATTTCACGTTACACAGTTTTCTACGATATTATTCGTAACGAACGTTTGTACGTTTCTATAAAATTCAAATTATGTACACCTTCTTCGGCGTATACGGTGAATGCGAATTCTTTTGCCGAAGTGCGACAATTTGTCGTCGACAAGACCGATACATCGCGCACACAGGCTTCTTCGATTCTTTAATAACCACGAAACCGATCAGATTTTATCGTACGCGACTAGATCGAAACGAAAAGCGGCATCAAACCGATGTGCAATTTCACAAATGGATTACACATACGCTGCACATCCCTGGAAATCAAAGTCGAGCGGGGGAAGAAAAAGTAGAAGCCCAACACGATTGAGAAAAACGACAAACAGAATATTTATATTTATGACGTGAAAGCATCGTGAATAAAAAATTGATTTTCTCATAACCGTGAACGGTGAAACGTCAAAGAAAAATAAATTGCATTTTACCGGCACAGTTTGTATAGAGAACTCCGATATGCATATACATGCGTGTTTCCGATACGATGCGTACGAAACAACTTGAAATGCGATAACCATGAAATTGATAGGCAAAATTCGCAACGAGCAAATCAAAGACAAATCGCTGTTTCACTCGCAACCCGTTCGATTTCCATCCAAAGATAAGGGTAGTGTACGCGTAGCCCCTAGGGATCCATGATGCGTGTTTTTCTGTTGTGTTCGATTTGAAATTCAAAAAACAGAAAGGGTGACAAACGATTAACGGAAGTAACCCGACTCTGTCCTTTTAAAGTGTAGCGAAGATAGGAATGTTCGTCGTGATTCGACTGTTCGCGCGCTAACTCGGCCGCGTCGATCAACGCGTCAATAACGAGCAACATTTTTCTTAGACGGCTGGCCGACGAAGACGATGAACTGTCCGAAGTTCAACCAGACGCGGTGCCCCCGGAAGTGCGGGAATGGCTCGCCTCGACCTTCACGAGGCAGCTCGCGACCACCAGACGGAAGGCCGACGAGAAGCCCAAGTTCCGTTCGGTGGCACACGCTATCAGGGCTGGGATTTTCGTCGATCGGATTTACAGGCGGGTAACCAGCACCGCGATGATGCAGTTCCCGCAGGAAGTGGTTAAAGTACTTAAGGTAGATCGTTCGCCGCACAACGGAATACATACGTACCATACATACATATTTGCCCTCTCTAGCTAGTGAAAAGTCGATTTCATCGAAACTAATACCGGATTGTAACGTCAGGTTGTATCGTTCGATAGCATACGTTCGATTTTCATACTAACGAAGTCAATTCTAGTTAGGTTTGGAATACACGCTACTTATTGCTTGCCGTAGGCAACGCTTATACATTATTGTACGTATATTGCGAAGTTGAAGACCAGAGAAAAGAAAGAGGAAACGAATCTTGAAATAAAAAGATACAAATGTAGTTCTAACATTTAATTGGCAAACAACCAGAACAACCGGTAGATGTATGAAAAATTTCAAGAGAGCAAATTATAATCCAAAGATTGTGCAATAGTACCGACTGCAAACTGCAAAGAATCCTAACGGATCTAATAGATGGAAGGGGGTTTCTTAGCGAGAAAGAGGTTCACGATCTTCGAAGTCTCGGGAGATTCGAGGAAGTTATGGATCTCGAGAGATTTGCGCAGTTGTACCCTCGGTTGCCCCATCGGTATACTTAGACATTATACATATGTAGATCCTTCTGAAACTTTGCGAGTATGTACCGTGTGAACCCTTAAACCTCGGTAATCTCGGATCTCTTCTAAATCTCTGCCACTCGTGAATCATTTCATAGTTCTCTAACGTGGTCGAAAATACTAAAATTCTACACACTAACTTAAACACAAAAGCTTAGGCATGCGAGAAATACGCGGCCTATCTTTCTCTAGATAACTCGAGCTTCGATATCTACAATTTTTTCGAGATCTTACATACTTTTCTTTTCATTAAAATCCCTATGATACCCCTACCGGGATTATTAGCAGCATACGCGTTGCTGTGCATCGGAGTAGAAGAAACACGCGGAAAAGCCGTTTCATTGGCTCGAGCATTTGCTTTTTCATTAAGTGTAATGCCAGTATATACGAAGGGGTCCAGAAAAGATAGCGTTCCTTTGTTCGCTATTGAACTCAAAAATGGCGCGGTGGGGGGTGGGGGGTGGGGGTGGGTTGAGATCTAAAAGAAACGAATAGTTATTTCGTAAAAGAAAAGTTTGGAATTCCAGTCACAACTGACATCGCAATGTTGGCGAATACTACTATATACGTATATGTGTGTATATGGCCCCGAAACGTGCTTCAGGTTCTCGAAATTCTCGAGAATCCCGGGAGTTTCGATATCCGAAATAGCTTTCTGCTTCGATCCCGGCGAAATTCGACGCGACTTGACATTTTTGGAACGGCGCTTGGAACCCCTATTCAAACGTACATACATGTATTTGTTTAAGACTCTGGACGACTGGTCCTTCGACGTGTTTTCCTTGAGCGAAGCCGCGATGGGAGCTCCGGTGAAGTATCTCGGCTATGATCTACTCAATCGATACGGTATGATCCACAAATTCAAAGTGCCGCCCGCGGTGTTGGAATGCTTTTTGGGAAGAGTCGAAGAGGGTTATTGCAGGCACCGGAACCCGTACCACAATAATCTCCATGCTGCAGACGTCGCCCAGACGATGCATTACATCTTGTGTCAAACAGGTCTCATGGTAAGTTCGGAAACAAAGGTCGGTGAAATATTTCAGTTAATTATTGGTATAGCGGCGGAGTTGTCGATACGGCAACGTTCATTAATTATACCCTAACTCTCTTTAGGTAATTACAATGAAGAAAGTGTCCACATAGTTTTGGCAATTCTCGTGCACCAAAAAGAAAACATCGCGACTCGTAACTTTTTCGCTTTAAAGTTCTGATCGTAGCTACGCGTTCTTCGTCTCGCGCCGAACGAATCCCGTTCGAATATCCCGTGGAATCGAGCGACACCCCTATGGGGATCGGAAGCTAGGAATAAGTTTCGGTTAATCCCGGGTGTTTTCTATGTATGTACATACATCCGTACGTATGCGTGGCCACCCCACCACGCGCGTCGCGCCACCGCGGCCACCGCTGCTACACCGCCTGCCTCCGTCGAAAATTGCTTGTTTCGCGTGAATAATGCACAGAATGTATCCGGCATTCGCTTGTTCGCAGAATTGGCTGACCGACTTGGAGATTTTCGCTACCCTGGTGGCGGCGCTTATTCACGATTACGAGCACACTGGGACCACAAACAATTTCCACGTAATGTCCGGCAGCGATACAGCGCTCCTCTACAATGACCGGGCTGTACTAGAAAATCACCACATCTCCGCAAGCTTCCGGTACGTACGAACGGATCGAAAAGGTCGTGCATATGGAAAGCTGATGGTGCACCGATGCTGCTAGCCTGCACAATTATCGGGCATTTTCGTTTCAATTTGTCCGCTGTTAATCGCGAATTACCTAGCACGTTTCCATCGGTGCACGATGCGATTCGGTACCTCTAATAAGGTAAAAGTACCTTTTACGCGGAGCGCTTTCCAAAAGGTACAAGATTATCGTCGATCCTATTACAACTTGAAAGCGTTAACGTATTTATACTATTGTTCGCTGGATCGATGTTCCTAGATAACGCGCTAAACTTTGAAATATTTATTTAATTTCGATAAAGTACGACACGAGTAAGTCCCGTCGTGTTTAAAAATGGATTTCTTTCATTTTTTAAATATCTCCAAAAAAAGAATGCCCGTTCCAAGATGGAGACATCGAATATGAAACACAGATATTCAAACTGTTCTATATAAATCGGGACAACGAAAAAGTTCGAGTGTACAATACGGATCGGTATTGTGCTCTTGCTATATCATTTTTCAAAATAATTCTTACGTTCAGAGTTGTAAATGTTGCAGGTTGAAATTTTCCTTGAAATTTTCCAGGATATTGAAAGAAGACGAATGCAACATATTACAGAATTTGTCGAGGGAGGAGTTCCGAGAATTTCGTTCGCTCGTCATCGACATGGTTCTTGCAACCGACATGAGTTTTCATTTCCAACAATTAAAGAATATGAAGAATATTCTAAGCCTGGCGGAACCTAGCGTCGACAAAAGCAAAGCGGTCAGCCTCGTCCTCCATTGTTGCGACATCTCGCATCCAGCCAAAAGATGGGACCTTCACCATAGGTAAGGCACTAAAACAATAATGTTGTACGAAGATCGTATTCCCGATTCTCTCTCGTAAATGACGCGACGCATCGTTACACGCGGATATGTTCTCCTATTCTATATCCATTTAATTCGTAAGAATTTCATTCGTTTGAATTTCGTCCGATACGCAGATGGACTATGCAACTCTTGGAAGAGTTCTTCCGTCAAGGCGACAAGGAGCGGGCGCTAGGATTGCCATTTTCACCGCTGTGCGATCGTAACAATACTCTGGTTGCAGAATCGCAAATAGGATTCATCGAGTTTATCGTCGAACCCAGTATGCAGGTGTGCAGCGACATGTTGGAGACGGTTCTCGCACCGTTGAGCGCCAAGGAGAGCGTGGACGAAGCTAATAACGGTAAGCCGACGTCGCGCTCACGGACTCGTAGTAAAATGAGACTCGTATTCGCGATCGTGTTCAAATGACAAACGATTTGCAGGATCGAACCCAGAAGCCAGACGATTCAAGGTTGGAAAGCCTTGGATTCCTTGTCTAGCAGAGAACAAGAGAATTTGGAAGGAGCAAGCTGTCCGGGGTAAAATATAATATATACTTTTCTTTTTATCGAGTATACCGGAAAGTTCTATTCGTTTTTCAATCGAAATTCAAACGGTACAATTCCCGTACATGTACTATCCTTGCGAGTGTATTTTATTGTAGAGAGAGAGAGAGAGAGAGAGAGAGAGAGAGAGAGAGATAACTGTAACTAAGGAGGCAACTTTGCGTTGTCAATTTGTTTCGTTTTCCATACGCGTGTATGGAAAGTATTGTTTTCGAATCGGGTAGGTCAGAAAGTTCGTGCGGTTATTTAACAAGTGTGTAAATACGAAGCATTTTTTTTTTATATAAAAAAATCTCTTTATTCAATTATGTATCGACCGTGGTGTTACATACGAACTGTTCCCATTTATTACACAATTTACTAATTCTCCGTTTATACGAAATCCAGCCTCTTTCCATCGGAGGAAGCGATAATAATGAGCGTTTTATCGATGTGTCCACAGATGCCGAAGCGAGAGCACAGAAAGAACAAGAACAGAAAGCGAATGACAACCGCGAGGACGGTGACACGGCTCAGCAAACAGCGCCTGAGGAATGAAAAATCCGGCGAGCCGTTCAGTTTTTCAAGAACATATGTAATTTTAGGCTACGAAGCGGTTCGTGATCACGCAGGAAGTAATTCGGTAACACGAAGTAGCCGTAACGCGTGTCTCAAAAGGATACCGCGATCCCTTTCCCGATGCTCGAGCGAACGTCGAAGATCGAGCGTACGATTAAGAATCCGACCACGACTTATTTATACTCTTTGTTTACCACTATCCTGTTTCACCGTGTATCGTTCCATCGATCTCGCTATTGTAATTGCGCCCAACTTTTTCATCGCTCGAACTCGTTCGAAACCGATGTATGTACTATGTATCTTCGCGTGTCCGATCGGTAACTCTCATAGACGAAAACGTTCCTCGACGATTAGCAAAATTAGCAAACCGATGCGCACGACAGCATCGTAATTTCCGATGCTTCACTTTCCGCGATCGCGCAATGCTTTTGCGGATTTGTACATACATATAGGCTTTCCGGTTTTTCTTACGCTTCGTTGACGAAATAGGCGCGTTCATTTCTAATCCGCTACGAAATCAATGCCTTCGCTGCGACGCAAACATTTCGTCCAGAACTCGTGCTAATGGCAATAGCTTGTTAATCACCATAGCGTTCGCGTCCACCGATATTCGATGCAAATCGTAAGATTTACAATTTGTAGAACAAGCTCGTTGACCTCGTGCATTTTTCTTCTTCCTTAGTTACAGCCTCCTTTTCGAAAATATGTGTATCTCGCGATTACTATCCACCACATTTCCGACAGTTAAATATCAACGAGTCAGAATGCTGTCGTGTGTATGTGGGCGTGTGTGTGTGTTAGAACTAAATAGGGCACCCTAAATGCGAATAAATAATTACCTCCGACTTTAATTTTTCAATAAATGTCTCGAGAGCTGTTTTCACTTTCACGCGAAAGCAATGGATAAAATAGTATAATTACTCGGTTGGAACTGCTTACTATTACGTAAAATACTGAAACGGTTAAAGCTGTTCGGGGAAAAAATGTTGGTCGCAGAGACGTTGATTTCTCGTTGTTAGCTTATTTCAGCATTTCGAATAGCTACATGTTACTGCGTACATAACTATTATCAAAAGATAGAAAAATAGTTTGCCGGACTCCTAAACGTAACCGTAGCCTAAAGTTACCAATCTACTGTAGACAGAACAACAGAAGAGAAGAGAAGAGAAGAGAAGAGGGAAGAGAAGAGAAGAGAAGAGAAGAGAAGAGAAGAGAAGAGAAGAGAAGAGAAGAGAAGAGAAGAGAAGAGAAGAGAAGAGAAGAGAAGAGAAGAGAAGAGAAGAGAAGAGAAGAGAAGAGAAGAGAAGAGAAGAGAAGAGAAGAGAAGAGAAGAGAAGAGAAGAGAAGAGAAGAGAAGAGAAGAGAAGAGAAGAGAAGAGAAGAGAAGAGAAGAGAAGAGAAGAGAAGAGAAGAGAAGAGAAGAGAAGAGAAGAGAAGAGAAGAGAAGAGAAGAGAAGAGAAGAGAAGAGAAGAGAAGAGAAGAGAAGAGAAGAGAAGAGAAGAGAAGAGAAGAGAAGAGAAGAGAAGAGAAGAGAAGAGAAGAGAAGAGAAGAGAAGAGAAGAGAAGAGAAGAGAAGAGAAGAGAAGAGAAGAGAAGAGAAGAGAAGAGAAGAGAAGAGAAGAGAAGAGAAGAGAAGAGAAGAGAAGAGAAGAGAAGAGAAGAGAAGAGAAGAGAAGAGAAGAGAAGAGAAGAGAAGAGAAGAGAAGAGAAGAGAAGAGAAGAGAAGAGAAGAGAAGAGAAGAGAAGAGAAGAGAAGAGAAGAGAAGAGAAGAGAAGAGAAGAGAAGAGAAGAGAAGAGAAGAGAAGAGAAGAGAAGAGAAGAGAAGAGAAGAGAAGAGAAGAGAAGAGAAGAGAAGAGAAGAGAAGAGAAGAGAAGAGAAGAGAAGAGAAGAGAAGAGAAGAGAAGAGAAGAGAAGAGAAGAGAAGAGAAGAGAAGAGAAGAGAAGAGAAGAGAAGAGAAGAGAAGAGAAGAGAAGAGAAGAGAAGAGAAGAGAATAATGAAGAGAAGAGAAAAATGAACGTACTTAGAGAGCACAATTGTCCATTCTCGATCAAGTGCTAGCGAGTGAAAGAACACTATGCGATCGTTGACAAAGATTACCATAGTGTTCTACCATTGGAACGCTGTCTTTATCCGTACCTGTTTTTCTTACAATTAGTGTGTAATTGCGAACTTACATTTTTCCATAATAGCGAAGGCTTTCGATTTGCAAGAACGTGTATTCAAAGTAACATTGACGTTTCACAAATTGAAGAAAAGTTCGACTCGTATCGGACGCAAAAATTGGTTCCAAAGCCGTAACATATGTACAATGAGAGAGTATTTGTATTTTATCCAGCCAATTCGGTTATCGATTCGTAACAGTTTCATGCTTCCGTTAGAAGTCTCCTGACATTTGTTTCAGCAACAGCATCAAATACATTTCATTGTTGTCTTTTCGTCGATCGTTTAAAAATTTTCATAACGCGATCTTACACGACTACGAGCACATTTCTTGCAACGGAGGTAACATCGAATTTCCTTGTCCCGATGGCTATTACATATTGTACGTATTACAAACACGCCAAACGTTGTTAGTTCGATGAACTGATTTTATTAGAAGAACTCTGATATTTATTAAATACTCTCGATTGTTAAACAATTATTAGAGTACAATGATGATTTTGAATCGAATCGTGCGATCACGTGTTTCAAAACATTACTCTAAAGATTTTGAAAGTCTTCGTAACACCTAGTTCTATTCTTAACGCGCACGCCCGATGGAAGCGGATTTCGGCGCAAGCTGAAGCTTCCGTTCGCTTCCTCGAAATTTCGACCAGCTAGGAACTTAGATGAAAGACCAAAAATCGCTTCTTTTTCAAGGTCCGATTTCTCCGATACGATTCGTCTACCAATTGCGAGCTTCGCCCTCGAAGCTGCTGCAGAAAATTGCAATATTTTGTTGCTTCGCGTCGATTCACGAATGCAAATCTTTTCCGATGATCCAAGAAAACTCGTGAATCGTAACAAACAACAAGCGCGAAGGTAAACGCGAATTATGGTATCGTATACGAAAGTAATCTCGTGGAACGTATTGCAATATTTCCAAGTAGCAATTCTCTCGATACAATTTCTCTTTTATTTTTCCGTATAATACCGTTTTATTACTCTTCTTTGAAAAAATTACCAATACGAAATCGAAAACAAAGAAAAACTTGAGAATACATACTTGCTGGTCTTTGTATAATAATCAAAGTACTAGACCAAGCGAATATCGTAAACGTTATTTTTACAATGACAAACAAATATCTTTACGCAATGAGAAAACAATAAAAGCATACTATTCATATTTGATCGTTCCTTTAAAATCGTCCGATCGTTGCCGCGTTAACGTAACCGCGATTAATTCTGTTCGGTTTCTATTCGTAAGTTTTGCTACGAAAAAGTACTAAAATTTTTTACAAGTACATATGTATATTCGGAGAAATTTCCATACACAAAACAGCGCGAAACTATCGTTCCCGATGACAAAATTCTCTCCATCACCGAAAAATCTTTTTCCTTATTTCACTTTTTGTAGTTACAACGAGATCGAGAGTAAACCGTAATCTCTAGACTGCGAATCTTTACGTAAATAACTCACCTAATCTTTGAGGATTATTTTTCAATGCCTAAAATAAAGAAAACATTGATTTCGTTATTAAAAATTTCCTTCCGTTGAAGATCAAATGGAAACGTTGTAAATATGTCGTAAATTTGCACACGGTATACGTACAAGTGCATAAAAATCCGCAGTCGAACGGTTATGTTTCGGAACCGTTTCAAGTTTTACGAGAGGAACGAACGCGTCGGATCGGGAGAAGTCGGGCCTAACCAACCACCATGATGGATTAAATCCTCGGGATTCCAACGTCATTGTACATACTTACTTTAAACGTGTATTAGTATACACACGAAGATGCAGCTTTAATGTATGTAAATGTAACGTTTAACGGAGATATCACACAAATGTTTACTCGGCGTACGCTACGTTTCGCGTAGATATACGAATATACGAATACGGTGGGGAAAGAGGATCGTCGCGTTGAAATCAATGCCCTGGGGTAACGCGAAGACAACGCCTCGAATGGGGGGGGGGGGGGCTCGCCTCTGTCTACACCGATTCGAACATATCCAAGGGTCGCATTATTTCGCACGGTATATCCGTCGCGTCGATCGAGAGGAAACAAGAGGAAACCGAACCTGTGCAACATCCTTCCTGGACTTTGACCGGCGTTCCGTGAAACCTTCAAAATCGAGGATCTCCACTGTCTTCGTTACGAATATTCCATTCGTGCGCGCACGACACAACTATTAGACGCCGAAGCATTTAACGCGCGGGCGCCATCGGGAGAAAGAGAAAGATATTTTATCGTCGTAGAGGACGTATAGGATCTAACGCGTCTATCCAACTTTCAAGTTAAACATATCCGTCCTATATTTATTTCGTTTTCCTCTTTCGGATTTAATTCGTGCACACGTTGCCGCGTCGACGCTCGCGAACGTCGACGACACGGAAGGAACGCTCGCGCATCTGTTCCCGCAGTTTTCTTCGAAACGGTTTCACGCAACACGACAGATCGGAGGAAAAGCGCGGAGCGTAAAGTAATATTACGGATGCTACTACAGACCGGTTGCACACGGTCGAGATCTCGCGAGAATCGGCGATTCGCGTTCTCGCGAATCAATTTGTGGCAACGTGTACGAGAAATCAAAAAGACAGTCTGTTTCCATCGACGACGTTAACGCCTTCAACGACATATATACGTGTAACCGTAAAGCGAAGCTCTATTAAATTCTATTTAATCTGGTCTTTTACAATTTCTAGACGACTTTTCCGACACGGCAAGCTCGCGAAGTTGACCGGTCTGAATATAACCCGAAACAACCGTTCGTACACGAGATACAACGAGAATTTACATAATTCTCATTCGGTCACAATTGGCAACCGGTTGGAAGTCGTCGGGCCGCGGGTGCGTCGCTCTATCCTATTTAATTCGATCGACGAAGCTTGTCGTACAAAACACAGTGCTTCGAAGCAACGTTCTATTCGTTTTCCGCTATGGAGATTAGATTTTCTATCCGTTACTTCTCCCTCTATATTCGGTCCGTCTATCCGTGCTTGTCGAAAAGTTCAAACTCTCGATGCATTACGATACCTAGGGCGCGCACCTATTTAGCGTCGCGGAACTAACGGACCTTGTTTCTATACGAGTAAATTGATTGTACATACGAACGTACGAACGTACGAGTCTCTCGGCGGACGGGATCGATCGCCTGCTTGCTACAAAACGTTCGTGTATTTTGTGACATCGTGCTCCGCGATATAAGACTGTGTGCACAAGGTTCGGATTCGTTGCGACGGTGTTTCCGCGAATTGTTCGAATCAGTCGGCTGTTTTCGTGATTTTTCGATTGATTTTGCGCGACCATTGCCTACGCAAAAGAAACGTCGCGTCGTCGTTGGCGGCAACACCTTTCACGGTTGTTTTCGCGTTCGCGTGCTCGGCACGAATTCGTTTTACTTTCTGCAGCGGACGAGGGGCCAAACGCGCGATAGAATTTACATTGAAACCATGGTCGCGTTAGAAGAACATTTTTCGATAGAATATGCGCGAGCGAAGACGACGCGTTGCGATTATATATGTATAATACTATAACGTACCGTTCAACGGTCGACAAGAAATTTCTCGGTCACTGGGATCGATCGACAGGGGCAGCAGGATCGCCCGATCGCGTGTTACCGGACCAAACATGGAATAATCTTCCTCTCTCGCAATCTTCTTACGTAGGAGAAAGAAGAATATAAAACGTTGTCACCGGGCAAATCGACGTACGATTATTCCGTATTACCATATGCCACTATGAACAAAACGCGCACCATTTCGTTTCAGATCTACATACGTACATATTTCGATTCCACGCGTTTCAATATCATTGAATCACGGATCTTAAGAGTGGCCTTAACTTTTGATAATACGGTCATTTTATTGGAACGGTAGAAAAACTATTACCTTTATCGTTTCTTTTATATCGTATTTGTTTTCATTTCCTTTTTTTTCTTTTCTTTTCTTTTTCTTTCTTTTTTTTTGGTAATATCATTTGTATCAGTTATACTACCGTATTTATATTATCACGGTGATCCAGCGAACGAACGAATTCATTGTCTGTGTTCACTTTTGTGTAAAATCCTGAGAGAAATTGTGGGTAATATCAATTTCGATCCGTTTCGTATAATCTGTTAAAATGTTTAGGAAGCAAGAGCCAGTTTGTACGTATATTCTAAACAAGAACCAGCTTATATACCTTATTCGAACATGTTCGAATCTTTGCAAACCGACCTCGACTTTTCTTCATCCCTCAATTTTGTAATATTCGCTAACGAAATTCTAAATATATAGGTAATATTTAATTCGTTAGAACCACGGGTAGATCGCGATCGCAAGTTCTGAAATCGATATTGTGCCAAGCAAATGTTAAAATATTATATAAGAAAACTGTGTTCCGCGGCCATTTTAAAGCCATTTAAATCCCCCCCCCCCCCCCCCCCCCTCTCTCTTTCTTT